AAACCCTAAACCCTAAACGGGGGTAGTAGGGGAGCCCATGAGCAAGACAAAGGCCTGCAAGTCTAGGAATGTGGCCTTAGGGCGGAGCGTAGATGGGGCCCTTGGCTGCCAAGGCAGCCAGGCGTATCAATGCAAAGTTTAGGGTTTAGGGTTGAGGGTTTAGGGTTTAGGGTTTAGGGTTTAGGGTTTAGGGTTTAGGGTTTAGGGACCTAAACTTTAAAATCCCGAAACCCTATGTTCCCATCTCCTCCCCAACGCACCCCCCTAAAGCCTGCCCAGGCTTCCCAACGTTCCCTGCCACATCCTTCCAGAACCGAAGCTTTGAGGGCTCCGGCTTTAAGGTTTAGATTTTTATTCTGTTTTGTCGGTAGGCTGCTTTACAGTGTATATCTTGAATCAGCCCATGGAAGGCAAAGGCAGATATCTGCTTAAACCCAAAACCCTAAATGCTAGAGCTACACATGTGCCGCACAGACGCCGCAACAAATCACTATTGCCACGTGGCTGCGACGATGAGGATCCAACCGGCTAGGAGGCGTGAACAGCATGCGGCGGTCTGCGCACACTTCAGTGAAGTTGGGCTGCTCCCGCTGGCTCTGGTTTTCCCACTAAGCCTGGTGCTGTGTGGTGCGATTGAGGAGGGAGGGGAATCTTTCGTGACCGGAGGGAACGTTAACCCCGCACCTGTGTCTTCACAAGACCTGAAAAAGGCGTTCCATGCAGCTTTGGGCCTCATGTCCATGACTCTGCATGCCAAGTTCACCACGGGTCATGTATGGAGCGTCGAGTTCACGACCATCAAGAAATCCACTCTGTTGTGGGCCATGGGTCATTACACGGACCCTTCTGGTGAGGTTAGTGAACCCCAAGCCCTAAGCCGCCCTACAAGCAAGGGATGAAGTCTCGTACCCCTCAGGTTGTACCCCTAAAGGTTCCCCTTCAGATACTCCGAATATGGCCCTGATGTCATAGTTAGGTATCCTTCAGAAGGCATCCCAAAACCCAAAACAGGTACAACCTTCCAGGGTCTACTCCAAAGTGGGGTCAAAACCCTAAACCCTAAACCTTAAACCCTAAACCGGAAACGACGCGACCTGCGGCCGAGATTGAGCCGCACTGGCTGCCGGAACTCGCGCCGAACCTCTTCCAGAGGGCGGACCCCACGAAGCTGTCCAAGAGGACACGGGAGGGGTTTAGGGTTTAGGGTATAGGGTTTAGGGTTTAGGGTTTAGGGCTTAGGGTTTAGGGTTTAGGGTTACTACTGTTTGCTTAAGAGTCCCCGTCCCCCAAAAACCACACAAAGTATTCCTCCTTGTAAGGGCAAATTCAGGGATTTAGGGTTTAGGGTTTAGGGTTTAGGGTTTAGGGTTTAGGGTTCAGAGGGTTTCGGGTTCACAGGGCTTAGGCTCACGGTTCAGATAGATTAAAGGTGTTTAGCTTTCCTCATTGGAGTCGTTTTGGGGTTCAAGGTCTTTCTTCTTCTTCTACCCCTGAACCTTAAGGTTAGGGTTTAGGGTTTAGGGTTTAGGGTTTAGGGTTTAGGGTTTAGGGTTCAGGGTTTATGGTATAGGGTTTAGGGTTCAGGGTTTAGGGCAAACCTTCATACGGCAAATCTTTCTAGTCCCGAAAATTTGGTGACTCTCCTCCACTCCCTTCTTCATCACCAGTACGCTAGGCACCACCCTAAATCCGAAGCGCCCTAAACTCTAAACCCGATAATTCCCCTAAACCTCTGAACCTATAAGCCTCTAAACCTCCAAACCTCAACGCCTCTAAACCTCTAAACCTCTAAACCTCCAAGCCTCTAAACCTCTAAACCTCTAAGCCTCTAAACCTCTAAACCTCGAACCCTCTAAACACCCAAACCCCCCTACTTGCTTGCAAGGGGTGTAGGGGTAAAGGCTTTGGCGTTTTCGTGGGGACCCGTCGGTTGCATCCGGTTGGATCCGGCGGACGCCCGTCTCCTTGTGCAGGAAGATGCGCGAGCGTATCGAGCGGCTCCCTCTGCAACAAGGTTTAGGGTTTAGGGTTTGGGATTTAGGGTTTGGGGTTTGGGGTTTGGGGTTTAGGGTTTAGGGTGTAGGGTGTAGGGTGTAGGGTTTAGGGTGTAGGGGTTGCTCAAAAATTCTAGGGGGTGGGGGGGGGGGGTGTCCCATTTTGCCCTGAACCCTAAGCCCAGAACTTAAAACCTTTGAGGGTTTAGGGTTTAGGGTCTAGGCGTTTACGGTCTCACAGCCTTCTCAGCTGAACAGGGTTTCGGGTCTACTTGGACTTTCACCGCAAGGAAGCATATAGCCGTACTTGGAACCGCAAGGAAGCATATAGCCGTACTTGGAACCTACTTATGAGTAACCCAAGTAGTGCTAGGGTTTAGGGTTTAGGATTTAGGGTTTAGGGTTTAGGGTGTAGAGTTCCTGACCTTAGAAAAGCAGCGAGAGGGGTTGGGAGTGGGGGCGTGGCCCCTGAACCCTCAACCCTCAACCCTAAACCCTATGAACTTTAGGGTTTAGGGTTTTGGGGTTTCCATGTCTAGCCCTAGGCTCGCTGTACACGAAAACTCCGTGCGGAGAGATGTCCTACATCTGAGCCAATGAACCCGAAAACCCCGAATCCCGAAAACACCAATGCTCTCAAAGACGTGATACAAAATCCCGCCCCAAAAAAACAACTGGGAACAGCCTCGCGAAGAGTTTTCTAAACTTAACTAACACCTTTAAGAGTTCCTATGCCCGAAACCTACACCCTAGACCCTAAACCCCTTTAAGGGACCCCGAAGGCCCCCCGCCCCCCGCAAAGCAAGCTCCAATTTTATGTGCCCCAAAAATCCTGAACCTCCCTCCCCTCCCTCCCCTCCCCTCTCTAAACCTCGATGCCCCGAGCCTCGAAGCCCCTCAACTCGCTCCGGCTGCCGAGGCCTTTGTACAACCGCTTCGAACAGCCGAACGCCTGGCGCCTGTCGCGGCGGAAGTGCTGAAAGCCGCCTGGGACCTCTGGGCCAAGCTCGGCTTCAAACGAAAGCCCCCTTAAGTCCTATGTGGGTTTAGGGTTTAGGGTTACGAGAAAAGCTCATTTGCAATTGGTTGTAACCTACGCTGCTTATTCCAGCTCGACCCTAAACCCTAAACCCTGAACCCTGAATCCTGAACTTTGAGAACCCTGAACCCTGAACTTTGAGAACCCTGAACCCTAAACCCTAAACCCTAAACCCTAAACCCTAAACCCTAAACCCTAAACCCTAAACCCTAAACCCTAAACCCAAGCCATGTCGCAGTAAAAGCCGTCGAAGCCAAGAGGTCGGCAGGAGGGCCGGTGCTTGCAAAGGAGCTCTGCGGAGGCCCAACAGCTTCGGTCCAAAGTGGTTGGGGTTTAGGGTTTAGGGTTTAGGGTTTAGGGTTTAGGGTTTAGGGTTTAGGGTTTAGGGTTTAGGGTTTAGGGTTTAGGGTTTAGGGTTTGGGGTTTAGGGTTTAGGGTTTAGGGTTTAGGGTTTAGGGTTTAGGGTTTGAGCCCTAAATCCAAGACCTTACTCCTCTGGCCATATGCATGTACATATACGCATAGACATTGCTGTGCCATTCTATGTGTATGTTTTGTTGCTACAGACACACATGTACTTACACATATTCTTGGAACAAGCTTGGGCCCCCATCAGACGCAAGTTAGCGCATGCGCAGCAACCCGGGTCCCCGTTGCAGGGAGGCTCTGCATTTGTTGCTGCGACGTACGAGAAACTGGCTGAGCTTACGGTCTGGGGTTTGGGTTTCGCCCTAAACCCTCAACCCTAAACCCGAAACCCTTTAATTACCCTAAACCCTAAACCCTAAACTTTACACCATGCTATCTTAAACAGTGGGCCTTGTTGACGACTTCCGTGCGCCTTTGTTCTTCTCCTTCTGCCTCCTTCTAGTCTTGGACCTCCTGCATCGGTCAGATTCACCCATGCCTACTAGCCACCTACGACCCAGAGTAGGCCCTTATTCCCTTTTTGGGGGGTTTAGGTGCCTTTCTTATTCCTAGGTTACTCCTAAACACTAAAGCTTAGATACCCCAAGACCCGACTAGGGCTCGGGATTTAGGGTTTCAGGTTTTGGGGTTCCCCTAATCCCCTAAATGCCTCATACCCTAGAAGCCCTCAATGCCCCAACATAACCCTGCCTCTGCACCCTAAACCCTTAACCCCAAACCCCAAGCCCCAAATCCCAAACCCCAAACCCCAAACCCCAAACCCCAAACCCCAAACTCCAAACCCCAAACCCCAAACCCCAAACCCCAAACCCTAAACCCTAAACCCTAAACCCTACACCCTAAACCCTAAACCCTAAACCCTACACTGGGCATACGTAGGGCGGGGCTCCTCCTTACACCTCCTTCGGCTTCTTCTCCTTGAGCTGCCTCACTGGGCACGACAGGCCAAGGTGCGGGTTAGGGTTTAGGGTTTAGGGTTTAGGGTTTAGGGTTTAGGGTTTAGGGTTTAGGGTTTAGGGTTTAGGGTTTAGGGTTTAGGGTTTAGGGTTTAGGGAAGAACGTGCACATGAACGTGCACGTGGGCCGTAGGGGACATTCAGAATCCCACCGCGCAGACGCACGCTTCAAACACTTGCTTGATGGAGCAATGCCTGTTGGATCAAGAGAAGGAATATTTCTCATTATTGCCATCTTCAAACTTCGCATTTCCCTTTCCGACTTTGCGACAATGACTCTTCATGTCTGACGGAAGTCCAGCAAGTGCAGAAACCCTAAACCCTAAACCCTAAAGCCTAAACCCTAAACCCCACCCTACCCTTCAACCCGGCTCTCGAAGCCTGACCGTCCAAGCCTCAGCCTCACGGCACCACCCTAGAACCCAACTGCTGCCACTTACCACCCCGCTCCCTCGGCCGACGCCCGCAACCCGTAGCCCCCAGGTCTCAAAAAGAACCAGGGTTTAGGGTTTAGGGTTTAGGGTTTAGGGTTTAGGGTTTCGGGTTTAGGGTTTAGGGTTAGACAGCAGCAGCGCTCCACTCATGCCGCGGAAGAAGGCTGGCTCCAAGGGAAGCGTGCAGCGGCAGCAGGGCGGCACTGGTTCCGCGAGTGATGCTCCCGAAGTCAGCCGCCATGCCCTAAGCACTAAACCCTAAACCCTAAACCCTACACCTAACCCGAAACCCTAAACCCTAAACCCGAAACCCTAAACCCTAAACCCTAAACCCTAAACCCTAAACCCTAAACCCTAAACCCTAAACCCTAAACCCTAAACCCTAAACCCTAAACCCTAAACCCTAAGCCCTAAGCCCTAAGCCCTAAGCCCTAAGCCCTAAACCTGAACCCTATAGACCCTAGACCCTAAACTGACTTCCTGGACTTTTGGATTCCTGGAGCTCTTACCGCTGAAGCCCTTCTTGGGTTCCCAATGTGAGCTTCGTGTTTTGTTTTTTTTTTTGGTTTAGGGTTTCGGGTTTAGGGTTTAGGGTTCAGGGTTGGGGGGGGGGGGGGGGGGCAAATGCACTTGTGATGAGGGAGTGGAGGGTTTAGTTGGGGTTTAGGGTTCAGGGTTTAGGGTTTTAGGTTTAGGGTTTAGGGTTTGGGGTTTAGGGTTTAGGGTTTAGGGTTTAGGGTTTAGGGCTTAGGGTTTCGGGTTTAGGCTTTAGGATTTTGATTTTAGGTTTAGGGTTCAGGGTGTCGGGTTCTAGCTTGCGGGGCTCAGGGTTGTGAGGTTCTCTCATAGGGTTTTGGGATCTAGGGTCCAGGGCCTCCCACACCATGAAGCCCAGCCCCTGGAACCTCCTAGGGTTTAGGGTTTAGGGTTTAGGGTTTCGGGTTTCGGGTTTAGGGTTTAGGGTTTAGGGTTTGGGGTGCCCCTTGAACCGGGTGCAGTTTGACTCTCGAAGTCCCTTCAGCAGAAGCCTAACCGTCCGACTCCCAACGCGTCTGAATAAACCCCTAAACCCCATAAACCCCTAGACCCCTAAACCCCTAAACCCCTAAGCCCCAAAACCCCTAAACCCCTAAGCCCCAAAACCCCTAAACCCACCCCTAAACCCCTAAACCCCTAAACCCCTCAACCCCTAAACCCCTAAACCCCAAAGCCCCTAGCCCGAAATGCCTGAACCCCCCTCAGCCCTAAACCCGAGCTGCCTAAACGCCTACACCGCCTAAACGCCTTTTAAACGCCTAACCGCCTAAACCGTAAGCCCAAGCCTTATGCCCTAAGCCTTAAGCCCTCAGCCCTAAGCCCTAAGCCCTAAACCCTAAGCCCTTTCCCCTAAACCCCTATACCCTAAACCGTGGCTCCGGACCCTGAGCTGAGAGCTCTGCACCAAGGCAGGTGTCCGTGTCCGAGGACGATGAGGAGCTGTCTGCGCTCGGAGTTCCATTGGATGCCGTTGTGAAGGCCCTTTTAGGGTTTAGGGTTTAGGGTTTAGGGTTTAGGTTTTCGGGTCAGGGTTTAGGGACACCCCTTAAAACCCCTAAAACCCGACAACCCCACCTCCTCTGCAATTGAGCTCAAGTTCAGCTCAAGCCTAGCAGGACTTCAAACGCCCTAGACCCTGAACCCTAAACCCTAAACCCTAAACCCTAAACCCTTACCCCTGACCCTGGACCCTAAACCCTAAACCCTAAACCCTAAACCCTAAACCCTAAACCCTAAACCCTAAACCCTAAACCCTAAACCCTAAACCCTAAACCCTAAACCCTAAACCCTAAACCCTAAACCCTAAACAGCATTAGGGTTCGTAAGGGTTTATGACTTTTGGATTGCCTGGGCCCTGGCAGGTCTGGTGCGTGCACAGCACGCCGAACTTCTCACTGCCCTGGCAGCACTTCGGCTTCTACCGCTTATGAGCCCCAAACCCCTAAATCCTAAACCCCAAGCCCTAAACCCCAGTTCCCCTAAACCCTAAACAACCCTAAACCCTAAACCCTAAACCCTACACCCTAAACCCTAAACCCTAAACCCTAAACCCTAAACCCTAAACCCTAAACCCTAAACCCTAAATCTCAGAGGCGGGGCTTTGGGGCTTAGGGGTTTTGGAGGCCAGACTCCGCCTGGGCGGCTTTTCAAACGAGCAGACACGAATTGAAGTGCCAGCATGGTCGTGAAGAGGGATTAGGGTTTAGGGTTTAGGGTTTAGGGTTTAGGGTTTAGGGTTTAGGGTTTAGGGTTTAGGGTTTAGGGTGGGGGAGGGGGGGGGGGGGCCCTGTCACAAGTGTTCATGTGTTGCGAACATGCCCAAACCCTGCCATTTGCGGCGTTTTTTGCCTCTTCAGACAACATTTTGCTGGAGGATGTTTGATGTTCAGCATCACAAGGCACTGTCACAAGTGTTCATGCCATTTTGCGAACATGCCCAAAACCCTGCTATGTGCGGCGTTTTTGCCTCTTTTATACAATGTGCGTCTCATCGAACACGTCTACAAATGGGTTTGGCGCTCGCAGTTGGTCCCAAAGCGGACGTCATGGATCACTTGGGGAAAGTATGCTATTTGGAGTGTCCCTAAGTTTTAGTTCCCGGATTTCCTAACAGCACGAATCCCTCCATTTCCACAGCCACACGCACGATTTCCTGTAATTTGCAGCACTTGCCGTGTATGCCCTAAAACGTACAGGCCCCCCGCCACACGGTCAGATAACAACGTGTGACTCCGTAAGCCCCAAACTCTAAACCCTGAACATTAAACACCCACCAGCTTCTGCACCACAACAATCATAGGATCCCAGAAGTCCTTCTGCGCCGCCAAAGAATCTAAGGCTGAACGTCTAGTGTTTAGGGCTTAAGGTACGAAATAGTTGCAGCGTATGAATGTGGACAGTCATTCAACTCTGTGTTCGTCTTTGCGGTCACTGTTTTCGCACGGGGCAACACGAAATCAGTTCTCGGGTAAATCACAAATTCTACCACACGAACAATTATGTAAGAACAATAAACCCGACACGGTAAACCTCCTTAGACCCGAAACCTGTAGTGGAGTCTTCCTTATCTCCGGGGCAATTGCTCCAAGAGAAACCGTATCCTCGAGAACTCGCCATCAGACAATCCGAGGCCGAACGCCCTGAGCCCGAAGCCCTAGGACCACAGAACCCTTAAACCCTAAACCGAAACCCTAAACCCTAAACCCTAAACCCTAAACCCCAAACCCCAAACCCCAAACCCTAAACCCTAAACCCTAAACCCTTTACAACCGAGAATCCTAGATGCCAAGTCCCCCAACCGTCAACCCCAAAAACCTCAGGAGGAGAAGGCAGGAGCGATCGACTGGGTCCGGCTTCTGCATCGACAAGGACGCCCGCACTTGGGGTTGAATGTTTAGGTTCCTAAACCCTAAACCCTAAATCCCGAAATCCCTAAATCCCTAAATCCCTCAATCCCTCAATCCCTCAATCCCTCAATCCCTAAATCTCTAGATCCCTAAATCCCTAAATCGCTAAATCCCTAAATCCTAAACCCTCACATCCCTGAAAACCAACCTCGAATCCCGGAGCCCTAAACCCTACTGTCTGCACCCTAAATCCTAGACCCCCAAGCCCTGAACCTTGTAAGCCTCATCCGACCCTACAAGCGAATTGAACACCCATACCCAAGTCCGCTTGAGGCAGCTGCAAGTGAAGCGCCTCCGCTTCCCGACGTGCGGCAAGAGCCCTTTCTCGATCGGTTCGTTCTCTGGGCCTGCACACACTTGCAGCCGAGGGGCGTACGTCGGCATCCGATTATCTCCGGCGTCGCGCACTTGATGTTTTCACACGTGGCAGCACAATGTGCTTCCCCTTGAGGCATACCCTGGCGCCTTACAAGCAAGACACCCGTGCTTGGTTCCCTATAACGCCAGATGATGACGTGAAGGCCGTCCCGCCCGGAGCGAACACACCATGGCCGCATCGCAAGCAGTAGGCAGCACTATGTGCAGGGCCTTTCCCCCCCCTGATTATTTAGAAGAAGCCTTGCAAGCTTGCTTCAAAATGCATCACGTACTGGCGGCGACTTGCTTCAAAATCGTCTTACTCTTGTCCAAGCCAGTCGGACCGGCATTGTAAGCTCTTCCAAGATCGTCATAAGATACAACGTTGTGTTTGCAAATGGGTTTAGGGTTTAGGGTTTAGGGTTTAGGGTTTAGGGCCCCCCCCCCTCCCCCCCTCAGCCCCCAAACCCCCACGTGTTGCTTTTAACCTCGCAAGCTCGCTCTAAGTCACATCGCGCCATCGCGGTGATTTGCGACTTGCTTCGTCTCATTCTTGTCCAAGACCGGTCATACCAGCATTGCATCTTTCCAAAGCCCTTCAACCCAGCGTTGCGTTTTTGCCGGGGGGGGGGGGGGGGGGGGGGACGGACCTCCCGGATTTTTGTTAGCCTTGCCCTGCTAAACCCTCAACCCTCAACCCTCAACCCTTAAGCCCTAAACCCTAAACCCTAAACCCTAAACCCTAAACCCTAAACCCTAAACCCTAAACCCTAAACCCTAAACCCTAAACCTGCAAGCTTGCTTTCAGATGCATCATGCCATCGGGGAGTCTTGCTTCCCAACCCAGCTTATTCTTTTCCCAAGCCTGTCATGCCGGCATTGTGTTTGCAAATCGGTGCACGCACCCCCCCCCCCCCCCACAACTCGCTTGTTCAAACCTTGCAGCGCTTTAAGTGATTTCTTGATGGCAAATGAATTCGTGTTGATGCCCCACCCCGGTACTGTAAACCAAACGACGATTTTAAATGCGAGAATCTTCAGAGGTTAGAATATAGCATTTAGGATATGCCACCCGCCACAAACCCATACCCCTTAATTAACCTATAAAGGGAGAATATATGAAAGGATCTTTCCATACCCCTTACTTTGTTTTAAGGGGTATGTTGAACGGGCCCTTAAGCCCCGTGGTTTAGGGTTTAGGGTTTAGGGTTTAGGCTTTAGGGTTTGGGGTTCTTCAAAGGGTCTGTGATAACATGGGTTTAGAGTTTAGGTTTTAGGGTTTAGGGTTGTGTAGCGCATATTTGCGGTGCATAAGGGGTCCCCTGTGAAGGGCCCATACTAAGGGACCATGGAGCTGAACCTTAAACCCAAAGCCCTAAACCCAAAACCCTAAACCCTAAACCCTAAACCCCAAACCCTAAACCCCAAACCCTAACCCTAACCCTAGTCAAAACCCTATATAAGCTCTAAGATTCAGGGTGCGTTGACTCCAGGAGCGGCGGGTGCTCATCACCAACGCCCACTGTGTCGAGTGGCACGCGCAGGCCAACTGCGGTCAATCGCCGCTGACTTCTTGGGACCTACGAGTCTAGGGTTTAGGGTTTAGGGCAAGTTTAGGGGTTTTCAGGGTTTAGGGTTTAGGGCGTCTCGCCGATAATTTTCGCCGCTCAGCGGCCTAAGCCAAAAACCCTAAGCCCTAAACCCTAAACCCTAAACCCTAAATCCTGAACCCTGAACCCTAAACCCTATAAACCCTAAACCCTATAAACCCTAAACCCTAAACCCTAAACCCTAAACCCTAAACCCTAAACCCTAAACCCTAAACCCTAAACCCTACTTCGGAAACCCCAAAACGCCCGCGCCTGCCGTGGCCAGGTCAAGGCACAGCGCCGGGGGTCCGACGTGGCTGGGGCCAGGCATTGTAGAGTTTAGGGTTTAGGGTTTAGGGTTTAGGGTTTAGGGTTTAGGGTTTAGGGTTTAGGGTTTAGGGTTCAGGGTTTAGGGGTGCAGGGTTTAGGGTCCAGGGTTTAGGGGTTTAGGTTTTAGGGTTTGGGGTTTTGGGTTTTGGGCTTGAGGGTAGGTTTCGGGTTAAGGGTGCAAGTGCGCGTAAGGTCCAGGATGAAGGGTTGAGGGTTCAAATTGTAAGGTTGGGGCTGGAAGGTGCATGGTTGGAGGCTTTGTGGACTTAAGTTTTATCAGCTGTAGTTGTGGGCTCTAGGGTTCAGGATGTTGCTTTCTGGCGCTGGGTTCAAAAGGTTTGCTGTGTTTCGCGTTTGTAGGGCTGGCGGGAGTCAGAGGTTAGTTAATGTTCGGCAACCCCTAGAGCAATAGTCTCCTAGAATCACTAAACCCCAACACACGACCAGCCAGTGCTGTATCTTGGCCTGACCTAACGTTTGAGGTTCAGGGTTTGGGGTGTATCAACCCATAAACCCCGACTCTTGTGCAGCCGAGGTAAAGCACTTGGCCAAGGTCCTCTCTGTGGGCTGGGAATGCGATGCTGCCGTGTGACTGGGACAGAAACCGGCCCCTAAATTCTGCACCCTAAACCCGAAATCCTTGAGTCAGCCCTCAACCCTAGTCGTTCGGGGAAGCGTGCGGGCTTCAGGCAGGTCCAAAAATCGGGTATGTCTTCAAACAAGGCGTACCGAATCTACCCCCCAAAAAGTTGCAATCCTGGTTACAGGACCCCCAAGTATTCTAATCCTTACTGTAGGAATATGCTCCGCGTTATAAGAACTGGAGTCGAATGTTCGAGTGCAGGCTCACTGTGGAGGACGACGAGCATCCCAGCTGGAATAACCCTAAACCCTACACCCTAAACCCTAAACCCTTAACCCTAAACCGGGTTCAGGGGAACCCCAAGCCCTAAACCCTAAACCCTAAACCCTAAACCCTAAACCCCTGAACTCTAAACCCAGGGACTCCGGTTTTTGCTGGACTTTTTGGGGTCTGCCCTTTCGGGTCTAAAATATATGTACATATATAGATATGTGTATGAGTATATACATACATACGTATATACAGTACAATATGTACATGCATGCTCTATATATATATATATATATACATATACGTACATATATGAGTATAAGGTATTTCCCTGTTTCTCCCTTCAAGGGATGTGTAGGGGATATAAGGGACCTGATTCCTTCATTCCCTTCCTAAGAACCCTTAAGCCTTAAGCCCTTAAGCCCTAAGCCCCTAAACCCGAAGCCCTACACCCTCAGCCCAAGGTTCTGGGAAGGACTGCAAGCTGTCCGGCTCAGTCAGAAACTGCCGCACCTGGAGGAAGATGTCCTGTGCCCTGGCCAGCCAGTGCAGGGTTTAGGGTTAGGGTTTGGGCTTTGGGGTTTAGGGTTTGGGCTTTCGGGCTTAGCGTGTAGGGGTTGTTAGGATTTCAGGGTTGCCAAGGTTTAGGGTGAGTTCACGGTTTTGGGGTTCGTTACGGTTGCAGGTTTCAGGGATAAGGGTTTACGATCAGCTCCTGACGTATATTCTCCTCTCCCAAATACAAAACCCAACTGCCCCGTTAAAACAACAATCATGTATCAGGTGAATTTTAGGGAGGGGTTGAAAGGTGTTGGGAGTCATGAAGGTCGAAAAACGAGTCGGGGGTTCAGAAAGTCACGACCCAAATATCAGAAAGCAGTTTCGGGTTTAGGGGTTAGGGTTTAGAGGTTAGGGTTTAGGGTTTAGAGCTCCTGGAACCATCAGAAAGCATGCCCTCGACCCGGAGCCCCTTTTGGAACGCATGGGCCCTGAATCCCATACTAGGACCCGGAGTTTAGGGTTTAGGGTTTAGGGTTTACTAGGACCCGGAGTAGGCCCCTATTTCCTTTTTCAGGGTTGGGGTTCCCTTATCATCCCCTGAAAACTCAGAAGGGCCTTTTTATTCCTAGGCTACTCCTGGGTCTGGCATAGCACGGCCGCAGCAGTTAGTTCTTATCGGTCCCCGCAATCCATCCCAGTGACCTAACACCCCAAAGTTTAAACTCTAGACCCTAAACCCCAACCCCCAAACCCTAAACCCTAAACCCCAAACCCAAAAACCCGAAACCCCAAACCCTAAACCCTAAACCCTAAAACCGAAAACCCTAAACCCTAAGCCCTAACCCAACCCTAGGTGCGTTGGCTTCCCAATTGGCGGAGACACCATCAGTGTCACCAGCGGCGTGATCTCGCGGATCGAAGTGCCTTACTCGGAGGTTCATGGCTACTTCCAAGTATGGCAACTTGCTTAGGGTTTAGGGTTTAGGGTTTAGGGTTTAGGGTCTAGGGTCTAGGGTCTAGGGTCTAGGGTCTAGGGTCCAGGGGTTAGGGTACTTGCAGGTAGGTGATAAGTGGGTAGCTGTGGTTATCACATTTTGAACCCTACTTAGAAGAACCCATGAACCTTCAAGTGCCTGGAGGTTCATGGGGTCTGGGGTGTATGGTTAAGGGTACATTATAGTCATGCTACTACCCCCCTCTATACTACCCCCCCTCCCCCCAGATTCCCCACCATAGTTAAGGTTATTTAGGGATGATTAAGCCTAATTTGGGCTATGTAAAGGGGGGACTTGGGCGCGGGTAGTATAGAGGCATAGAGGGGTAGTTTCATGATATAGGTAGGCCCATGCACGCATAAGATCGCCCAGTCTCTAGACTACCAAGAGAGCCCTACTTAAAGACCCTTCCTTGAAGGTTCAAGGGTACTTAAAGGAGGGGTTGCCCTAAGCCCTAAGCCCTAAGCCCTAAGCCCTACGCCCTACGCCCTAAGCCCTTCGCCCTAAGACCCTAGGCCCTAGGCCCCCAGCCTTAGGCCCTAAGCCCGAAGCCCTAAGCCGTAACCCCGAAATTTCAGTTTCTAAGCCCCGAAGCCCCTAAGCCTCTAAGCCCCTAGGCCCTAGGCCCTAAGCCCGAAGCCCTAAGCCATAAGCCCTAAGCCATAAGCCCTAAACCCAAGCCAAGTTTTGCTTTCTAAGAGGGTGGAGGATGAACAGCCCGTTCTTGTCTAGCAGAAGTCTGAGGCTCTGCAGCTTGGACTGTTTCTTGCAGGGAAGGATCCGAAGCAGAGCATGCTGAATCGGTCTGCGGTGTGCCGCGTCAAGGAGAAGCTGCAGAGGTTGCAGGCAAGCGCCCGGGGTGTCTGCCTGCATCAGCAGAGCGCCGGGGCTGTGCTGCTGCCGGAGTTTGGCGGAGCTGCTCTCTCAACCATTCCTCAACGTCGATCGTGTGCCTTAAACCCCCTGAACCCCTAACCCCTAAAACCCTAAACCGCTAAACCCCTCAACCCAGAACCCCTAAACTCGAAGCTCAGGTGACGACCTACACCCCTAAACCCCAAACCCCAAACCCAAACCCCAAACCCAAACCCCAAACCCCAAACCCCAAACCCCAAACCCCAAACCCTAAACCCTAAACCCTAAACCTCTCTGCCAGCACCATATAGCCCTAAATGTTAAACACGAATTTGGCGATTGGACCCCCATTGTTCGGCACGAATTTGTTTGATCCATTTCGGCCCCTCTGACCCCTTTGGCCCCCCCATTGTTCAGCACGAATTTGGCGATTTGATCCATTTCTTGGTGCGTCTGAACAGAACTTGCGTTTTGGTAATTTGGGTGGGTGGGTGTTTTTCCGTTGCCTACACACTGCTGGCCTAGTAAATGCTCGAACTTGAGATGCTGATCCCTAAACAACAAACCCCAAACCCCAAACCCCAAACCCCAAACCCCAAACCCTGAACCCTAAACCCTAAACCCTAAACCCTAAACCCTAAACCCTAAACCCTAAACCCTAAACTCTAAACCCTAAACCCTAAACCCTAAACCCTAAACCCTAAACCCTAAACCCTAAACCCTAAACCCTAAACCTAAACCCTAAACCCTAAACCCTAAACCCTACACCCTAAACCCTAAACCCTGAGCTCAGGTGACGACCTACACCCAGGCCTCCGCAGAGCTCTTGGGCATCCAGATCGACGCGGCGATCAACAGCGGCAACAGCGGCGGGCCGGCCTTCAACCGTGCCTTGGTTAAGGGTTTAGGGTTTAGGGTTCAGGGTTAGGGTTTAGGGTTTAGGGTGTAGGGTTTAGGGTGTAGGGTTTGATTAGGACCAGCCTTCAACCGCACCTTGGACTGGGAGCAGAGTTAGGGATTCACTAGGGTGTATGGTTTAGGGTTTAGGGTTTAGGGTTTAGGGATTCATTACGTAGGGTGTATGGTTTAGGGTTTAGGGTTTAGGGATTCATTAGGGTGTATGGTTTAGGGTTTAGGGGCCCCCTAATTTTTTTTGGGCGGGGGGGGGGGCCCGAGAGCCCTAGACCCAAAGGCCCCAAAGCATTGAATCCCGAACCCTAAACCCCGAGCTCAGAAGTCCAGCTACCCTAAACCCAAAACTCAAAACCCTAAAACCTAAAACCCTGAACCCTAAACCCCAGAGCAGAAAGAGGAAAACACGAAATCCCTAGAAACCCGAACCGTTTTTAGCAGACCCCCGGTTGAAACCCCTCAAGTGGACCCCAAAGCCTAGCGAGGTTTAGGGTTTAGGGTTTCGGGTTTAGGGTTTAGGGTTTCGGGTTTAGGGTTTAGGGTTCCGGGTGAGAGTTAAGGGTCTAGGGTTCAGGGTTCAGGATTTAAGGCCTATAAGGTTAAGGGTTTAGGTTTACCCTTACCTGAAGGTTCGTGAGTATTTATATGTGCGGGTTAT